TTATTACAGTTTCCTGAGCAATCCCCCTCTTCATAAGCTCCCATAGATTTTCGATCGGAATGAGGTCTGGGGAATTACCTGGCAACTTCAGTATTTTAATTTTATTTTTTTCCAGGTACGCTGTTATTGTTTTTGCTTTATGGCACTGTGCTGAATTGTACATAAAGGTAAAATCCTCCAATTCGCCAAACCAGTCTTTGATTTGTGGCATGAGCTTTGTTTTCAGAACTTCAACATACTAATGTTGATACATCATTCCATTTACAATGCACAGCTTCCCTGTGCCATTATTGCAGATCACAGACCTAACCATGATCTTGAGAGGATGCTTTACTTGCTCCACTATGCAATCCTTGTGATATTTTTTACCCACTCGCCTTCAGACGAAGGACGACTTATCCGTGAGAATCTCCACTGTAAACTCATCAGAGAAACAAACCTATGAATAAAAAACACTCTAAGATATTGTTTTTTTTTTTTTATAAAAACAGTGATTATAGGGATTCTTAACTTTAATAGTGACGTAATTTACCTTATTCCAATCCACAATTATTCAATTTTGGTGTTCTTTGCCATTCCAGTCTCTCTTTTATCATTGCGATGGTCAACTTTGATTTTTTGGCAAGGCGACATGATTTGAAACCTTGCCCAGCAAGCCTTCTGCGGACTGTCATGTCAGAAACTGGCATACCAGCTTCACAAATAAGTCCCAAGAGGATTCTTCTTGGCTTCTTTCGATTGTTTACGAAGATATCCCTTATTTTTCTTTCGTCTCTGGGTGTAGTGACACGTTTTTTGGGCACGCTCGTGAGTCAGGGGTTTGGTGATGTCAATTTTTTTCTTGATATTGCTCATTGTAGCTTGCCCTACTTGGCATTGTTGAGCTATCTGACGTTGTAAAAGCTTTGTATTCAATAAAAGTGTATTTATCTTCACCATCTTAGACATAGGGATGTCTTTAGCCTCATTTATTATGATTTTCTTCTCAAAAATCGAAATATTTTGAAAATGTCTTTAAAATTAAAACTGATAGTTTTTTTTTTACTCACAGTCACCACTAATACATTAATAAAGCATACTATCAAGATAAAATGATACTAATCTTTCAAAAACAACACGAAAACACACAAATTCAGTTGTACACTCTAACTGCAAATTCACCACAATGTGTATGCTGCCACGTAATTTGACACAAATGACAGTTCTAGAGCTGTAAACGTCAAAAGAGTAAGGTTATTAGTGACAAAATATATTGGCATATCTTAATCGTAAAGCAGCACATGATTTTATTATAAAATTTTTTAACAAATTTGAAAAACTCAATGTTTTGTGACTGATCATAATAATTTGATCACCCAGTGAATTTGGTCAGACTGTAGATGGCACTTTTTGTAATTATCACTCGAAGTGGAAAATAGAAGGACACATTCCCTGGCGTGTTTGTGTAGGTGTTTGTATCTACCCGACTGTCTGAATATATAGGGATACAGAAATAATGTTATAATAGTCTATTGATAGCAATTCATATATGCAAGGTTTTACTAATTGTGCTCGTTTTGCCCTTTATTTTATTTGACGTTTTAATTTACCAACCAATGGCAAAGGTTTTGCTGAAATCTTTAGATCTTTTACAAATTTTATATGGTGTAAAAAGATATAAAACGATAGTAGTAAATTGTTTTCGTTTAAAGCCATCAAAATAGATAGTACTTTTGTATACTCGAAGTGGGAAATACCAGGACACATGCAGGTATTTGTATCTACCCGAAAATTTTATTTTGGTAACGTTTAGCCAAGTTAAATACCTGCACGGAGTGTACCTTCGTTTTCTGTCTCGCTAACAATTTCAAAGATCTTCGTTATTTTTGCAGCCTTCTCTCTATTTGGATTGCCGAATATAGGCCTCTTCTTATTCTCGCCATTTATCTATGTTGTTTGTAAGACGTTTCCACATTGGTCCTGCAGTTCTTTTAATATAATATCGTCGCTCCAGTACATTTACGGTCTTCATCGTGGCTTTTTGGCTTCGCTTGACTTCGTATGGTCGCCAATTCCCGATTTCTTAATTTCATCGACCATCCTTAAGACGTTCGTTACGTACAGCCCATTTCTAGTTTAGTTTAGCGGCCTGTTTGATAGCATCTTTTACTTTTGTTCTATTACGAATGTCCTCATTGGTTTTATGATCTTTGAGTGAAGTGCCCAGTATCTGTCGTTCCATAACTTTCTATTGCCCACAGTTCCACGCTATCAAAAGCTTTTTCATAATCTATAAAAGCCAGACATAATGGGAAATTGTATTTATTAGTCTTTTCTATTATTATTTTCAGAGTAAATTTTAGTTTCCAAATCCGACTAATTCTACTGGTTATATTCGTCAATATTAAATGTTAACCTGTTTTGAATAATATTTGTAAAGTTGTGAAAGAAGTGAAATTGGTCGATAATTTTCCAGGTCTGTGGTGTTTCCCTTTTTGTGTATTAAAATTGCTTTAACAGTACCTATTCCATTGTTCGGGTATATTGCTTTGAATAGACATTTATTAAATAGTATTTTGAGCTTGTGATGGCTTCTTCTCCGCCTTTCGTCAGCATTTCTGCTAGGATTCCATCGCTTCCAGGAGATTCATTCCTTTTTATTTCTTTTACTGTTTTTTTATTTCTTCTTGGCTCGTTTCAGGCATCACTTCTGAGTTGTCATTTGTTATCTGCCTTTTCAAGTTCTGCTTTAAGGAATTAGGGGATAGTTTCTGGAACGATACAGATCGGCGTAGAACTGTTCAATTGAGTTTGCTATATCAGATTTACTTTTTTCTAGTTGTCCTTGTTTATTTTTAATCATTTCTGTCCTAATCATTTTTAATGATTATTGTATTTTTCTTTCCTAGGTTCGGTTTGGTGCATTTGAGACTTCGGTTTTTCTCTATGATTTGTTCTGTACGGTTTTCTTGGTATTTTTTATTGTCCTCTTTTATCTGATTTCTTATTAGTCGATTGAGTTTTTTAAATTTTGCAGTGTCCCTTTCATTTTGTCCCAGATATTTTCTTTGTTTTAGCATGTTTTGTGATTCTATACTTAGTTTGGATTTTCGTTTTCTGTTAGCAATTGCCACCTGTAAGCTTGTATGTTACTCTAAACTTAATACTTCCGCAGATACAAATACTTTTCGCAGGTTTTAACTTGCTTTTATATTGTTCTGTATTATATTTTAGTGTATATGTGTCTATATTCCAAATTTTTCTAAATGTATTACTATTTTTATTATGTTTTATGTCTAATTTGGCTTTAACCATTCGGTGACCGCTACTTACTGACGCCATATTTATTACTGTTATGTCCTGTATGATATCTGTTTTCTTATATAGCATATTTATAATCTATTTTGTTTTGAGTTTTACTCAAATATGTTTTTATTATAGAATGTGTTAATTGACCACCTTTTCCTTTCATTTTTTGGTTTATACAAGCAGGTAGTTGACCTAATTTATCATATTTTTCAAATAAACCGCTCTATTGCATTAGAGTTGGTATTAATACGCCTTGTTGTTCTGTCACGTGTTGACCTCAAGGCATCTGTCTTTTTACGTTGTGGCGCTATAACACCTGTTTTACCATCATTTCAACGGCAGCAGTCGAGAAACTCAGAGTGGTAACTTCATTATACTTTTAAATTACTAAAATTCTTAATTAATCATTACAAGAATGCTACCAATAGTCAAAATAAAATTTTAATCATTGATTTACTGTTGGAAGTGCATCTTTGATCTCTTAGTTTTTCTACACATAGTTTTTTAATATAAAATTTTTTTTATATGAAAATTTTTTATATACTTGTATAAGTACCACATATCTTTTTGCTGTGTTAAGTTTATGAAAATTGTTAACTATTAGTTCAATGTATGTTATACAACAGTCCGTGTCGAAGCTTCTTTACAATTTTTATATCATTGACTGCTAAATATCTTTTTGAGATAACACACTTAATAACTTTCCATTGGATGTTAGGTTTTTCATATTGTACTTTTTAGATGAACTGATGATGATATCAAATTGGAAAGCGAAACGTTTTTAATAAATAGATGAAGTAGCCATCATCTTTGTCTTTTTTTTCCAACTTCTGACCGAAAAAACCCGCCACTCTTCGAGTAATTCCTAACTTATATTGGATTGACGGTCGTACTCCTTTTTTTCAATATATATAAATATATATATATATATAAATATATATATATATATATATATTATATAATATATATATAAATATATATATATATATATATATATGTATATATATATATATATATATATATATATATATATAGGTATATATAAAAAACACAATTGTTTATTAGGGTTGCAGTCAGAAAATTGGCCGGGATGTTAAAAAAACACTCTTTTGACTTTTTGACTAGCTTTCGGAATGGATTTATTCCTTTTTCAAGACACTGTCATAAGAAAGATATGTAAATATTTACAAGATATCATAATTCTTTAATGTAACTTACTAGTCGTTGAGATTATTTGTAAAATCATTGACACTCAACATTGATAACACACATATAAAATATAAAATAATGGACAAAATACATTCTAAAATTTTAAAATTTGGGTAAAGACAGTAAAACTTAGTTTATGGCATCTTTTACTGGTGTATTTTAACTATGATACAAAGAGAACAGAAAATAAAAACCCTGTGATTAAAATGTAATTATGTGTACTTGATATTATTTTTCTTTTCAAGAAATACTAGAGGCCCATTTTGGTGATTTTACTTTTTAAACCTGTCTTAATGGTATGCAACGTCTTATGCATACAGTAAATTGTAATTTATAATAATTATAAATATAAATATATATTTATAACAAATATAAAATAATGTGTAATTTATGTAAAAGTAAATATTTATTTTATTTTTGATGTTTTTTCAGTAAATAACAATAAATGTTGCTCAGTTTATCTATGTCAGACTTTTTATTGCATCAATATTTGTTTTTTTTAGTGATTATAAGGACTATCCTTTTGTTGGTATATACAGAAATACAACTCCAATACTAGTAGCACGGGATCCAGAATTTATTAAGAACGTTCTTGTAAAAGATTTTAAAAACTTTCACGATAATGACATCGAGGTCGATCCAGAAGTCGATCCAATTTTTGGTCGAAATCCATTCGTGATGAAAGGCGCTGCATGGAAGCATAAAAGAGCACAACTAACAACTTGCTTTACATCAGGAAAGGTAAATTTCTAACACTTACCTAATTGAATACAAAATAAAAAAAAAATATAAGAAAATAGTTTGATTACGCTTACTTACTTTCATTTAACAAATTTTAGTTGCAGCTGTATTTTTTATTGTATGGAGTATTATTGCAATTAAATTTAGCATTATGTCCTTTAATATTTACAATAACCATGATTCTAGCTAGCTACCTAACGATCTAAAACTCATTTTTAAAAAATAAGTAGAGATTACCTGAAAAAACTTGACAAAAGAGCAAAACAACTCTTTATAAACTTCAATTGGTCATCTTTCCCAGGACTTACTAACTAGAAGCTTCAATAACTAGAAAATCTCCGAAGTATCCCTACCAAATTTACTCCTGGTTTCTTAATGTTCTCAGAAACTTATCCTTACTTTAATGTTCTTAGAAACTTGTCATTATTGCAATGTTTCCTATTGCAAAATACATCCTGACCGACTTTTATTCGCTAACCTGTATAAATCATTGGACTTAAAACTTACACTTTATACCTTATTCTTCATAGGATGCCTGTCCGTTCCGAATATTGGCGATCATTTTGGCTATGATGACTTTGTTGGTTGCTATACGAAATAGCTGTGTTGAGGTCTTTCTATACCATGCTCTCAGGTTTGCAAGCCAGGATATTCTTTATTGAAGTAGGTCGTATCTGCCTTGATTTATCATTATATGTCCCAAGTACGGCAGCTTACCCTACAGAGATCACGAAAATTATATTGTTTCTAAAAACCGCTCAGCTCTACCGTAGGATTTAATCTAATCAACATTAGTTAAAGTTATATAATTATTATTTGTTTCGGTTATTTATTATATATTTAATATTAAAGTTCCTGTACCATTCACCATAATTATCAAGGTACTTCATGAAACTAAAAAAAATACAAATATATTTCCATTTGTACTTCGTTTTGACTCTGGGGAAGAAATCTATTTCAACTAATTGGTGGGAACTTTTTTTATTGGAAATATTTTTAAGAATCGATAGAACAATATGTTCTAACCAGAAAATTTTCGAAATATTTTTGAAAAATCAATAATTCTAAACTTGTTGGTATTCAAAATTTCAATTTTTGAAAATTTTTGTCCAAAGCGCAGCATAGATAGAAAAAGAATGTCCTGGCTGAGAATCCTTAGAGAATGGTTTGGATGCAGCTCAACTGAACTCTTTCTGGCTGTAGTGTCTTAAGTTAGAATAGCAGTGATAATTGGCAACCTTCGTCGCGGAGATGGCACGTAAAGAAGAAGAAAGCTGGCGTTCCACAAGGGAGTGTATTAGGCCCGGTCCTGTACCTATTGTATACATGTGACATTCCGGAGCTAAAACAAAATATTATTGCCACCTTCGTGGAGAATAAAGCCATACTAGCGATAGGACACACTAATAAAAAAAGGGACTAATAAGTATCAACTATCAGTAAATACAATACAAGCCTAAACCAGAAAATGGCGAATTAAATTAAGTGAGATTAAATCTCCCCACATTAACTTTGGAAATACAAAACTAGAAAATTTCCCAGTACTCGGGAACATTGTTGATGTTCCTTGGTATATCCATAACAGCAACCTCCACCAGGAGCTGGATATAGCAACTGTGACCGAAGTACTAAAGAGAATACTCATAAGGACAAAACCATTTGAGTTGGTGTAAATTTGTAACCGTTTAGCGTAAAAAGCAGAGTATAGTGCTGTGGTGTTACTGCATGTTGTAGTGCAAAATTTGATGAATAAAATATTGGTTAGTAATAGGGTCATTTAAATAAACAAATAAACAAATACGTTACGAATTGTGTTCCAATATTCCAGAGAATCATGCTCATTTGATTGGATTTATTCCCAGCAAAAACCAACAAAATCCAAATATATGCACCCACAGCAGACAAATCAGACGAAGTAAAGGTTTTTATATATATTATAAGACGAAGCTTTTATAACGATTTAAGGAAAGTCCTAAGTAACTAGTTATGACAGTACTATACTACATGAAGTAACGCTAGTTATAGGTGACTTTAATGCCAAAATCGGTAAGGGTAGTTATGGTAAAGTAGTAGGTTCATGGGGTCTGGGTGAGCGAAATGAGAGAGGAGAACGCTACTCAATTTGCTACGGAAAAGAGTTGGTAATCAACAATACACTCTTTAAATTACCATACAGAAGGTTGTACACATGGCACTCAGCCGGTGACACGCCAAAAAATCTGATAAGAAACCAGATTGACTGTATTTTAATAAATAAAAAAATCAAAAACTCAATAACATCTGTGAAAACCTAGCCTAGTGCAGATATTAAGTCAGACTATAAACCACTTGTCGCTAAATTTCGTCTGAAATTTATAAAAATCCACAAACCTTATCCTATGAGATACGATCTCAAACAACTAAGAGATGATGACATAAAGCAAGAAGTACGGGAATATCTGAAGAACAACATACAAGTCAGAAGTAGTTAATGATGTTAAGAAAGAAATAACCCACTTAGAAAACATTGGGAAGGAAATATTAGACCAATACCTGCGACCGAAAAAGACAGAAAAGCAAAAAACATGGATTACCGACGGTATATTACAGATAATGGACAGAAGAAGAGAATCCAAGCGGAAAGACTACATTGCATATCAATTTCTAGACAAAGAGATCAAAAAAAGCTGTCAGAGAAGCTAAAAATAGAAATCTGGTAGAACAGTGTGAAGAAATCAAGATATTGGAACGTAAACTCGATTCCTTCAACCTCCACAAAAGGATTAAAGAAGCATCTATAAATAAAAAAGGCCGGGACACTTAACAGACGCTCAAAAAAATCCAATAGTTGTTATTTAAGAAACAAAAACAACATGGATGAACTATGTGACAATAATATTTGAAACGATAGGAATGTCACCATCACACAAAACAAAAATGGCGATACAGGACCACCTATTCTCGAAGCGGAAGTAGAGCTGCTATAAACAACATTAAGGAGGGAAAAGCCGCAGGACCAGACGAGTTCGACTCAGAATTTTTTAAAATTATGGATAAAGACAAAGCAAAAAGATCTTCAACAATATATACCAAAGTGGAAAAATACCCCAACGCTGGCTAAGATCAACTTTTATAACAATCCCTAAAAAACCCAATGCCAAAAATGTGAATATTATCGAATAATAATCCTTATGAGACATCTCCTGAAAAGTTTTTAAAAATTATACATAAAAGAATATATAAAAAGTGTAAAGAACACATGACTAACACATAATTCGGCTTCAGGGATGCATTGGTATTTGAGATGCACTTTTTGCAATACAAGTTCTCTTTCAAAAATGTAGAGACGTGAATTGTGATATATATGTGTGTTTTGTTGATTAACAGAAAGCGTTCGATAGAATAAAACATGACGAACTGATGAAAATATTAAATTCAATTAGTCTAGACAGCCGAGATCGCCGTATAATAAACAATATATATTACGAACAAACTGCAGCTGTTAGAGTTGGGGGTTAGTTAACAGACGAATATAAAGATAAAAAAGTGTGCGACAGGGATGTATATTGTCCCCATTATTGTTCAATACATATTCAGAGCATATTATGAACCTAGCACTAAGTGACATAGATGGGGGAATACTTATAAACGGAGAACGATTGAACAACATAATGTATGTTGATGATACTATTATTTTTGCAGACAGTCTTGAAGGTCTGCAGACACTTGTCTTCAGAGTGGCAGAAGTAAGTAGCAGGTTTGGGCTTAAATTTGACATAAAAAATCTAAATACATGGTTATATGCAAAACCTGGTATGATACGACCTGGTCAATTATTAGTTAACCAACAACCTTTAATACAAAGCACCTACTTTTGATATTCTGGGGTAAACTAAATGAACAGTGGGGCCAATCGACGAAAATTAGGATAAGGATCAAGAAGGCAAGATCAGCTTTCGTCAAAATTAAAAAAATCTTTAACAGCCACGATAAAAAATTGGAAATAAAAGTTCGTTTACTAAAATGCTACGTATTCTCCGTTCTTTTATATGACGTGGAGTCATGAACCTTAACTGAAGCATCACTGAAGAGACTCGAAGCATTTGAGATGTGGTGCTACAGACGCATGTTGATGATTTCCTGGATAGACAGAGTTGCCAACGGAGAAGTACTACATAGAATGGGTAAAGAGCACGAACTAGTCGTAACCATAAAACGTCGCAAACTGGAATACCTGGCCCATATAATGCGCAATGAACAACGATATGACCTATACTTCGGACCATACTTCAAGGTAAAGTGCATGGAAAAATAGGTTCAGGACGAAGAACAATATCCTGGCTGCATAACCTGCGAAAATGGTTTAACTTAATCACTACAGGACTTTTCAGGGCAGCAGTCAGTCAACAAAGTCAGAATAGCCATGTTAGTGTCCAATATCCGTAACGGATAGGCACTATAAAAAAAAGTCATAGAGTAAGCCTTAGATTCAAGTATTTGCTGTTTATTGGGTTAGGTCAGAAAAAAACTGATAATTGGTCATTTGTCACCAGCTCCTCCTCCTCAATCCTTTAGCCCTTGTCAGGGCGTAGTGACACTCTAAATATTGTTAGTCTGCTGTCTCCACCAAACTCTTCATTTGGTCTACCCATCGTATTGGAGATCTTCCTCTTGGTCTTCGGCCTTCTACCTTTCCTTCTACTACCAATAGTTCCATAGTGCCCGTTCTTTTAGCTATGTGGCCGAAGTAAGTTAAGTATGCTTGGTTTACTTTTTTTAGTAGCCTGTCTTTTATATGAAGCTCTTCCAGAATTGACAGGTTGGTTCTATGTTCGGTCCAGGACACGCGTAGAATTCTTCTATATACCCACATTTCGAAGGCTTCGATCTTACTCCTATCGATTTTTTTGAGAGTCCATGTTTCAGCTGCATATGTGGCAATGGGAAAAATAAGGGCATTGACCAACCTGAGCTTAGTATTCTTTGTTATTGTTCGGTCTTTCCATATTTTAATTAATTTAGCAGTTGCAGTTCGGGCCATTCCTAGTCTACGTTTGATTTCTGAGGAACAATCACCATTGTTGGTTATCAGAGAGCCCAAGTATACAAATCTGTCGACTACTTCGAAAATCCCTATTTGGCGTATATGCGGTAGATTATTATTTGCTCTGTCTACAATCATTATTTTTGTTTTTCCGGTGTTGATTTGAAGTCCGAATTATTTACTTATTCGGCTTAGCCGTTCGATGATGGTAATCATTTCGACTTCATTCGCTGCTAGTATAAGTGTGTCATCTGCGTATCGCAGGTTACTGATTTTTCTGCCTCTTATAGTGATTCCTCCATCCCATTCATCTAGCACTTTTCTCATTATATATTCAGAATATATGTTGTACAATAATGGTGATAGTAGGTAACCTTGTCTAGTTCCTTTCTTTGTTTTGAATGCATTTGAATATATTCCATGAGTTTTTGGATGTATAATAAATAATCTGTATAATAAAAACTCAGCCAACTTTGGCTGAGTTTTTATTATACAGATTTCTTATTAGGTTAACTAGGTGGTTAGGTACTCCCATATTTTCCATTATACTCCAGAGAGGATCCCATTTTACTAAATCAAAAGCTTTTGTGTAATCTACAAAACAGAGCAACATTAGTATGTTATGTTCTCTCGATTTTTCTACTGTCTACTATCTGTCTGGTGTTGAGTATTTGTGACCAGCTAGCAGTATACAAATACCGTGCAGTAGGTCACAGGTCATTATTTTTGTATTACCTACCTAAGTTATAAATGCCGTATGAATATGTTTAACCAAAAAGTCCTCTTTCCTTTAGTATGTAGGAAGTTTATCTTACCTGTGACTCACCTGTACTGATAATAATTGACGGCATAGTTTCTTCAGTTGATACTGCATGTATTATTGTATATGTGATTTATGCTGGGTCAAACGACCCAATAAAAATCTGACATGGCCTTGTAGTCTATATATTGGGATAAAGCGTAGCTTATTAAAAACAAAGAGATCGATTTTTCCATTTTTGCTGTGAGCCTAATACCAATCTAGATATATCTTGTTAAAAGTAAAAGTTACATATTAAATAAAAAATTACATTCATTTAACATAAAATAATAGGAAAACGGGCAATTTTACTAAAAAAATATATAATATCTTTTTTAAAGTACTTAAAAAAAAGCATAAAAATGAGACTTAAAAAATTAGAATAAAAGTTAGAATAAGCATATTTTAAAGTAAAATTGTAGCTTGGCCCAATAAAAATAATAAATTTCTTAATACTTTCTACGCGAGACACACAAAAAGGTTTTTTATTTGTAGATTAAAGGAATGTATTACTTCATAGATAACACAGGAAAACGAATGATAAAATATCTCGAAGAACAAATAAAGCAACCTGAACCTTTAGAGGCCAGAGAGGTCTGCGTACGATTTACATTAGACAATGTAGCAGCTTGTGCCTTTGGTTTGGAAGGCAAGTCGTTTGATGAACCCTATTCGACATTTAGAGAATTGGCAGACAATATGTTGTCACCTGAGGGCACAGCTAATAAACTTATGTGGATGGTCGTAGCAGTGTTTCCAGATATTATTAAATATTTCAAGATAAGGTAAGCGAATCTTAGTTACATTTATGAATGACAAATTCAATCAATTTTTTGAGTCGTAAATGTTATGTGATAAATTTTGCAAATTTTCAGCAAAATGTATTTAAAACTTTCAACTTTTTATTGACCAAAACCTTCTAGTAAATATATTAAGCGTAAAGTAGTGCCTCTGCGCTTATACTGTACTATAGGGTAGGGCGAAGATTAAACCGTCACTCGAGCTATTCACCTCCAAATTTTTCCTGAACCGGCTCACTTGAAATTTGGTAAGTTGATGAGAAAGTGCTCAAATAACAAACTTTATTCAGTAATGAGTGCTTTACCACCCGGCTTTTTAACGTAAGAGGTAGAAAACACAGTTACCTTGTGAAATAAAAAGAGATGAAACTCGTAGAGGTGGGAAATAATCGATAGAAACCTACAATTTACATTACATTGCATTACCACCATCGATAGTCTCACACCTTAAGACGTTAGACATGACTATTTGACTTCAGTCATAATTATACGGATAACCTCAAAAATATTTTATTTTAATAATTTCTGATGTTAGAATAAATACTCTTTAAGTTTATTTAATAATAAAAATAACTCAACTGAAATATTTTACTAAAATAAAGGTAGGTATGTTCTGTCCGAAAACAATTAATGTATGTGGAATTGGTGTAGTAGTTAGGGACGTTGTCTATTGACGAGAAAATTGGGGTTCAATTCACACCAAAAATAAAATTTTTGTTTTATCAATAAAAAAATAATAGAAAATATGATACATATTAGGTAACAAATTTTCGAAAAACTCATTATTTGCAATTTATTTTTATTCCAATGTAATTTCCAAACGGAAATATAAAATAATTCAAATTTAATTCATACAGTCTGTAGTTGTGAATGCAAAATAATCCGGCGAAGACTGTTTATATCAACTCCATCACTAAATTCTCAATGTTAATATCAATTCCTCTGTACAGGTAATGATTTTCAAAACAATTGACAATTGTAAATACGTTTATTTACAATATTTTTTTATTTTTGTAGAATTTTTACTTATTTAAACTATTCTTTAAACGTTCTTTTAATTTTGAGAAATTTTTACTTTATTTTCGAAAGTACGACGGACACTTTTTTCAATAAGATATTTATGTTTAACTTTAAACACTTCTAATACTAGTAACGACTGACATACATGTTTAAAAGCAAAACGGTCTCTGCATAATTTCAAATTATTAAAAAAAACACATGTAGGTTTTGAACTCTAATCGTCTGCACCGCAGTGTCGAATTCTTACCAATAATCCAAGATGGATTGATAATTATTCCGTGACAAAAGCAAAGAACTATAGTGTATTTTTATGTATGAGAGAGTAATAAAACAATAAATTATGTATGCAAATCCCTAAACTGTTGATACGGGTGACTCAATGAAAAACAGATATTTGTCAACAAGTTTACAGAAGTATATAGGAAAACAATTTTAAATTGAGTATGACCACCAGGTATAAAGGTTGCAGCAGAATAGAATACAATAGTTGTGAGGGTTACTAATCCCTAAATAAGGTTGCCAGTGTCGGAGTGATGGAGGTTAACAGGTACTAATGAATTTGCAAGAAATGTAAGATGTTTATTTTATTGGTTATATATAACCAATAAAAGTTTAATAAGTACCTACCTATTTGCAAAATAAAGTTTAATTCTTTAGATAAAATAAAACGTTTTATTTTATCTGAAATGAGTGCATTCCACGAAGTAAGGGTTTCAACAATCAAACATTTAATTCTTTAATTCCAGGAATCTACGACAGTAATTGACTAGATAATTACCTTCTAAACTTATTCCACAGAAAATGTGATAGTGGGTTTTTCCATTTTGTAGGAAGGTCCAAGTGGCGTATTCAAAATTCTTAACAGTTCACTAAAAGTAGGTACTTCAGTTGCAAGGTGCAGTTTATTGTGTATACTAGTGTTATGGAAAATTTGGAAGTGCCGTGTAAACGCCGAAAATTGGTCCTTTAACAGTTAATGAAAAAACATTAATATTTAATTGTTTTAAATCATTTACAGACAAACGTTTATGTGAAAGTGTTGATGAGACCGTTGAGTTAGTTAGCAGTACACTTGGTGTTGGGAAATCTACGATTTACAGAGTTATTAAAGAAGAGAAATGTGGTAGTTTTCAAATGCCACGTAATGCTCCAGGGAAACCAAAATTTCAAATAGAATATCATTTTAAAGAAGGACTTCGACGGAAAGTGCATGAATTCTTCTTTAGACAAGAATTTCCAACATTGGATAAAGTTCTTGTCTCAGTTCGAGATGATAAGGATTACCCAGAAATGAGTCGAAGTACGTTATGGAAACTTTTAAAAGAAATAGGCTTCCGCTGGAAAAAGAATCCCAGAAAGTCTATTTTATTAGAAAGAAGCGATATTGTCATATGGAGAAGACATTTTCTAAGAACCATAAAGGAAATGAGAAACCAAAAAAGAAAAATATTTTATCTTGATGAAACATGGATCAACGAGGGTCATACACCAAATAAATTTTGGCAGGATGAAACTGTTACAAGTCAAAGGCACGCTTTTGTAAATAACTTATCTACTGGTTTAAACCCACCATCAGGAAAGGGACGCAGGCTGATAATAGTACACATTGGCATTTCAGACGGTTTTGTTGAAGGTGGTTTATTAACTTTTGAATCAACTCGTACCGGTGACTACCATGAAGACATGAACGCTGATGTCTTTCAAGAATGGTTCGAACAAATGATAGATCTTCTTCCTAAGAACTGTGTAATAGTAATGGATAATGCAAGTTATCACTCCAGACTTATAGAAGGACTGCCCACAACCAAGTGGTTAAAAAAAGACTTGCAGAATTGGCTGAGTTCAAAAAATATTACGTACCATCCCGGATCTATAAGAAAGGAACTTTATTCGTTGTGTGCCCTTCATAAAGAAAAATTTAAAAAATACGAAATTGATGAAATTGCCAAAAATCGTGGAATGACAGTACTTAGATCCCCACCATATCATTGTGAATTAAACCCGATTGAACTTGTATGGGCACAGATAAAGAGTGAAGTTTCAAGAAAAAATACCACTTTTAAAATTCATGATGTTAAACGAGTTGTTTTTGGAGGCCGTAAATAATGTAAAACCTAAAAACTGGGAAAAGGCAGTAAATCACACTATTAAAGAAGAGGAAAAAATGTGGAAGCTGGACAATATTACTGATAAAATGATCGAAGCCAGTTATTATAAATCTTGGTTCTGAAAGTTCATCTTCTGAATCTGATTTGGATTTGTAACAAGTAGCTGTAAGTTTTATATTAATATTTTTATTCATCTATTTAACATACCTTAGATGGTTTTAAAAACTCTTTTTCTCTTTTGTAATTTTTAAAAATTTAAAAAAAATGTGAATTTTTTAAAACCCTTTTTAATGTAGGCCAGTTAGTTCTAATATAGTGTGTGATAAAAGAGGTCACTTTTGTTTACATACTCTTAACACTTTATAACACTGAAATAATTGATTTATTTTTTACAATTATTCAAAGTAATTTTTCAATTAATCTTGAGCACGCCCATGGAGTGGTCGGAGGTACCAGTTAAAATTATGCTAATTACTCCTCGTTCATAAAAATAAACTATAACGACCACAGTTAGAAACCTGTGTTCGTAGTTCTTTGACAAGAGTATGAAACTCCTAAAATCGTAGTAGAAATTGTTTTTGGTTAATAATTTAAAACTTTAGTTTAATTTTAAATAAAAATTTAGATAAATTTATTTAGTCAAACATAGTAATTATGACCGGGGTGATTTAGCTCGAAGCTAAAGTCTAAAGGTGTGAGACTATCGATAGTGGTAATATAATGTAATGTAAATTATAGGTTTTCTATCGATTATTTCCCACCTCTACGAGTTTCATCTCTTTTTATTTCACAAGGTAACTGTGTTTTTTATCTCTTACGATAAAAAGCCGGGTGGTAAGACACTCAGCACTGTATAACGTCGATGTGTGCTTTCGCGTCAGGGGTGAATGCCACTCCTTCTTGGAGTTGGAAATTCCAAATATTGCTCAAAATAATTGCGGAAATAGATAGAGGATTAAATTTTTAACAAATTTTGTTTCATAGAGTTTGTTGGAAAGTCAATAGTATTTGAGCTGTTTATAGTTGAAAATCTCACATTTTGGCAAAATATGCCTTTGATTTATATAGTATCCAGAAAGAAAATAAAGCTTATAAAAGAAGAATGAGATTTATTTTTTATACGGCATTTTAGATACAATAAAAATTGAGATACGGTTTCTGAAAGAAGACATTTTTTTGTGAATATTTGGATCAACGTTAAATTGTAAGAAAACGGTTGATTTTTTGAAAGTAATGGTATCAATTTTTTTATCATCCATGAAAAGACCTTTAATATAAGTACTATAGAAAGTCACTTGCATGTAAACTGAGTAAGTTACAGCTCGGTAAAGATGTGCTCTTCCAACATTTTAAGTAAAAAGAACAGTATAGTTAATTTAATGTCCACCAGAATAATAATTAATAGTTTTCCTATTACATTACTTTTTATTTTAGTGTTGTGCATTAGATCCAGTAGTTTATAAAAATTAAATTAAAACTTGTAATATACCAATGAAACATAATCTTTCGAGTAAATTAATAAATTGGTATTGATTTTAATTAATAAGTTAAGCATTTTAACATTAAGTATGAAATGATATTTCAATACGTGTTTTTCTATTTTTTCCAATTAGCGGCAGTTTTAATCATCTAAAACCAAAAAGTACATTTCGCCCATATATAATTTTTGCAGAGGAGGGCAAGAGAAGCTTAAATAAAAACTGAGATATTACTTTTCAAATCATTTATTTTATTGGGAAATTTGGAGGATCCTGTTTTTGCTTTACAGAATATTTAAGTAATTTTGACCAAATTTAAAAATATTTATATATTATTCAGTATATGGAAAAACTGTTGTCAGGTATAAAATAATTACTGAAACAATCTCAGAAATGTGTAAACAAATCTATTTTTCGTTGCCTTTGGAAATGTGTAGTTGACTCATATTTAGTTGATATTCAGCGGTCATATTATAAGACAGCTGATAAATATGTTATCTGACTGTTTTCCTTGTTTTAGATTAATATCTAAAGCCATCGAAACTAGGTTGTTTGATATTGTCAGAGGCTCACTAAAACATAGAAAAGATAACAACATTGTAAGAAATGACTTTTTGGATATTATAAGCAATCAATCAAATGAAGAAGGCGGCACTGTATCAACTATAGATATTCTCGCTAATGCTGTCAGTTTCTTTGCTGATGGGTATGAAACAAGTTCTAGGGTAAGATATTTGTTTTCATGGCATATAGTAATGCGACAGTTTGTAACCTCACAAATGGTATTTGTAACGTCATCAATTCGTAAGGGCGTAATTTCTTAACATCGACGGTTTGTAACTGCAACTATTCGTAACGTCAACATTAATATTTTTTTTTTAGAAAATTTACTTATAGTAGGGGTACTTTTTTCAAGAGCACTTTTTTCTCACATTAATTAATTAATTTTTATGCTTTAGTAATAAGTACAATAACTGTTCATGTCCAAATATAAATACAGTAAAACCTCCGTTAACCAAAACATCGTTTAACCGAAACGACTGACAGTTTCAGTAATTTCGTAAATACATAATTTTTTATCGCAATACGAAAAAACCTCGTCAGCATTGCTTTCATATAACTAAAGAATGCAATTAAATATACAAAATATGTTTTTATTACCGTAGTTATCTAATTGTATGTTGTATCGGTATCAATTACTTAGTGCCTCACTGTTCTTTGATTCAGTATCATACTTATTTGTGTGCTACTTTAATTTCATTAAATTGTCTGTTTCGTGCCTTGTATGAAAATGTCAAATAAAAAGAAATGTGTTGTGATTGCGATTAAACAGAAATTAGAGGCTATCCGACGGATTCAACATGAAGAGATTTTATGGACAGTCGCAAGAGATTTTGGCGTTGGCGCTTCTACAGTTTTCGAGTGAATTAAAATGAAAAGCAAATTTGAAGAATATTCTTCGAAAATGCCAAACAAAAAATTTATAAAACTAAGTTAACATAAGAAGGTAAATGAAGCTGTCTATTTGTGGTTCACACAACAAAGAACCAGAGGAGTAGCATTATCTGGACCAATAATTTAAGAGAAGGCATAAATGTTATCCGAAATGATGGGCGATGAAGGTGAAGGTTTTAAAGCAAGTTTAGGTTGGCTAGACAAATTGGAAAAATAGGTACGCTATTAGTAAGTTAATTTATATGGAGAAAAGCTATCCGCTGAGCACGATGCTGTGAGTATTTTTAAAACTGAAATAAATGAGTTATTGACAAATTACACTAAAGATCAAATTTACAACGCACATCAGACTGGATGAAATTTTAAAATTCTGGTCAAAAATCACTTGCATTTAAACATGAACACAGTGCACCAGGCCTAAAAAAGAATAAACAACGAAAAACAGTTCTGTGTTGTAGCAATGTAGCAAGAACTCACAAATTGAGGCCTATGTGTATTGGGAAATAAAGAAAACCAAGAGCTCCAAAAGATTTTTCAGAAAAATTACTTTCAGTTTTTTATAGAAGCCAAAAAGCTCATATATGTCGACCACTTTGTTTTCAGAATGGTTCGAAAATGAATTCGTCCCAAGTGTAAAATCCTTTTCAAAATTAAAAAATCTTTGCATCAAAGCATTGTTGCTTATTGACAATGCGCCAACTCACCCTCAAAATCTACAAAATGGTGACAGAGTTTTGCCACCAAATGTCACAAGCTTAATTCAGCCGTTAGACCAGGGAGTAATAGAGATATTTAAAAGACATTATAGAGCAGCGTTTATAAAATTCTTAAATCTTTAACAATGAAACATGTTGTTTATTGGTGTGATAACTCGTGGGCCAAGATCAAATCTTCAACATTGGCAAAATGCTGAAACAAACGTTTTGATGGGATTTTGATTGATGATCTCAAAGAAGAACATGTGGAAAAAAAATACTGAACAAATTGAACCTTTGATAAGAAATTTGCCAGGATGTGACAAAATTAACCAAGAAGAGATACATGAGTGGTTAGCAGCCAATCAGAAAGTGAATTCATCGACGAAGATATTATTGATATGGTTCTTCATCCAGACAACCTGAGCGTATCAGACGACGAAGATGACGACCCAGTGGTTTTGTCCTTTTCAGATTGCTTTGCGTTTCGTCGAAAAATCTAATGAGGCAAAACCACGTGACGTTCTGCACATGAAACTATGAAGAGATATAGCTGCAATACATCGTATTCAAAGAAAAACACAAACAAAAAAAGACGATTTCTTAAAAAAAAAACAAGAACATGTAATTTTCCTTTATTCTGTATTTTATTTACATAGAAAACATTACAAAATCACCTCATAGTATTTTTAATACCAACTTTGACCAAGAGTACTATGTAATTTGATACAAGAACAATACAAAAAGCAATGTTATTTTTAACCGAAATTCTTGTTATCCGAAACGGCTTTCCACCCCAATTATTTTGGTTAACAGAGGTTTTACTGTATTCTATTAGGATGTTCTGTATTCTATTAGGTTTTAGAGCAGGATATGGCACGAATGATCATTTATAAGTAATTAAGAACTTAATAGAAAAGAGTGTTGAATATACCAAGCCATTAGTCATGATATTTGTTGACTACGAAAAAGCTTTCGACACAATGAGTCATCAAAAGATGTTAAAAGCCTTAACAGAGTGCCGTATAGATCATCGCTATATAAACATGAGAAAATACCTAAAATCTATCAAAATTGGGACAGCCAGCGTGAAACTGGCAGATAAAAAGACCAACGTGTTTAAAATAAAACGGGAGTGCGACAGGCAGACAAAATTTCGCAAAAATTGTTTACAACATTATTAGAGCATATGTTTAAGAACGCAAATCTGAGTGAAAAAGAAATTAATGTCAATGGAAAAATGCTTAGTCATTTGAGGTTTGCTGACGATATTGCCCTTTTTGCTGACAGAATCGATGATGCAGTATCGCGACTGGAGAAACTATACCTAGCCTCCCTGCAAGTTGGATTAAAAATCAACCACACAAAAATACAAATCATGATGAATCTTGTGTTAAGCGAAAAGATTTCAGTAAATGGCATGCATATTGAAGAAACCACCTCTTATAAGTACTTAGGACATGAGATACGCATACGAAGAGATAATCCAAACGTGCGACCTACGCCGCATAGTAGGACTCACTTGGGTGGCATTCGGCAAGCTGAGCTATGTTCTTAAATCAGAACTGCCTATGTGTCTTAAAAGAAAAGTCTTTAATCAGTGCGTGTGACCAGTACTTACATATGGTGCAAAGACATTAACAGAGAACAGGAGTGACAGATGCCATAGAAAGAATTATGACCCTTAAGTGGAACTGAGCGGGGCACATAGCTAGAATGTCGGATAACAGATGGACACAGCGAATAATACAGTGGAGACCGAGACAAGAAGCACATTGAAGTAGAGGTCGTCCACCAACAAGATGGTCTGATGACATAAAACGGATCGACAAAAATTGGTTACAAACAGCACAAAACAGAAATACATGGAAAAGACTGAGGGAGACCTATATCCAGCAGTAGATAGATCCAGGTTAAATGATGATTAGGATGATGAGATTTACTCCCACGTAAGAGCAAGTTGTATTTTTCAGAAAGTAGATAATTTATGTTATTGGGAGTAGCATTTTTTTATTTAAAACGCTTATTTCACATCAATGACGCAGTGTTATTAGTGGGGTGACAAACACAATAGTTTTAATATGATCATATACATTAAAAATTTTTTTATAAGATATCTCGTTCTTGCTCCAAGTTTTTTAAAGTTGGGTAAATTTTGTTTTCACTTTGACTGCAGGTCGACGTATCCAAAACAAAATACATGAAGGTCACGAGCAGCACACAAATAGCGGCACCACAAGATCTGGTGACAGAAGCACACACATTCGAAGGGGTCTCGGAGTTTATATATCTTGGAACACAACTAAATATCAGCAACCTAGTTAGCGTAGAAATTAAGAGAAGAATATACCTGGCGAACAGAGCTTACTTTGGACTAAAGCAGTTTTTAATATCACACATAATTAGAAGAAACACCAAGATACTAATATATCAAACTCTTATTAAACCTATCCTGATATACATGTCAGAGACATGGACTATGGTAAAAAGCAACGAAGAACTGTTAGGCCACATTGAAAGAAGAATACTTAGACACATATACGGAGAAGTAAGCCGGATATAGCGCAGGCGCTACAATTTTGGGTTGTATCAATTGTATGAATAATGCAACATCGTCTGGTCTATTAAAATTAATAGACTAAGGTAGCTAGGACACCTTGAAAAAATGGACACTGGAGACCTCCAAAGACAGATATTATATCAACTCGAAGATGACTTGAGGAATCCAGGGGTCAAAAATTGGAAAACCAGGGCGAAAGATAGCAGGGGAATGCAAACTTATTCTTGAACAGGCCAATACCCACCCAGGGTTGTAGAGCCAAAGATGATGATGATGATGAAATTTTCTTTCCTATTATGAATTTTATTCGAGCTCGCTGGAATAAGGCAGATATATACTGCAAATGTTAACGTGTTTTTGGTAACTGTTGCAGCTACAGCTTTAAAACTAGTACTTATTACAATTATTGGTTTAGCTTGTATATCTGTTCTAGCGCATAAAGAGCATGAACTTGATATTGACCAGATTAGAAAAATTAAAAAAATATGTTTTTTCTTCAAACGTCAAATAATGATGACATTACTTATCTAACTTGATCCTGTTAAAGTTTGATGTCTCCGCCAGCAGCAGTTTTTTTTCCATTTCTTTACGGTGGAGGGAAAAATGTTGTCATGGCAACAATATGAAACATGTCACAAAGCAACAATACAAATGTCATTAACAACAATTAAACATAATTTTTATTTATAGTAGGTAATATTAAACGTACAATTAGTTGATAAGGCATTTTCAAAATTGAAACCGTGCAAAAATGTTCCCGACTCTTGATACGCATTGGTAATTGTTGATGATACTGATGGTCGAGTACAACTTTCAGCAATCATTCCCGATGTTGGCGAACCATGAGGGTTTAAAATTTTTTGAACATTATCGTTCTTATTTCTTATTGAATCCTCTATATATCCTTCTGCAACCGTGCTTGATTTTTAGCCCCCATGTCGTTTGAGGCATTCTAGATTTCCGCCTCCATCAATTAAAAGTGTTGCTAAAATTCGTCGTAAAGAGTGACCCGTGTATGCGCTTCCATCATTTAAATTTAAATAACTAGCTACTTTTTGGGCTACTGCGCTGATCGAATGTATTCCCATGACGCTTCGGTAACACTTTCCATTTTGGTAGTTGATAAAAAATCGGTTTTCTTTGAAATTTTTAGGCCGCAGTGATGCATACTTTTTATACAGTTTAATGTAGTTTTGAACAATTATCGTAAAAGATCTAATTTGTCGTGTTTTCCTGTCTGGGATTTTGATAATTATTACATTTTCTCTATCCTCAATGTCCACAGTCTTCATTTTTACCATTTCGTCTAAATACACTTACCTGGCGCTTCAAACAAAAATTTATCAAACTCGTCTTTAGTGAAAACTTTAGACTTCTTTGCAGTATACCTTTGCTTGTTTTTTTCAGAAAGGTACGCAACTTTAAAAATTTGCTTCTATCCACATTTTTTCTAATAACTAACTCGGATCATAGAGTATCGTGACCACATTGTAGAAGATTTGAATTTATTTTTATTTTTCATTATATTAAAATATGCCAGTAAAACGTCTTCGGTAACTTGCCGTACTCCTCTTGTATCGCACCACTCTTGGAAGTGCTTGTACGCTAACCGATACTTTATTCCGGACTTCGAGGGCCCCAAACGTTCTACTGCATCATTAGCCGCGGACTCAATTTCGTTTAGGTTTTCCGTTTTCGCACTAAATTTGCGCTTGCAACAACAATAAGCTGTCTTTAATAATTGCAAACAACTGTCAAACAACTGTAACCAGGGAGATGCAAATCCCACCGACGAATTAACTATTTTAATTTCTAACATATAGACGACTTTGATAGTTGTCACAGTTAATTTCGAGTAAAAATAGCTAGCGTATGAATTGTACTATTTATGGTTAAAAATTGCTACGTTTGAAGAAAAAATAGTATACTTTATTCGGCAAAGAAGCGACTTTTCTTGACTTGCCCTCTATTACGGGCGCGTCAAGAAAAGTCATGATTCTCCGCCTTATAAAGTAATATACTATTACGCAAGAAAAATTTTAATTACAATGACAATCATAATTTAACAGTCTACAAGTTAGATATAATTTATGGATGGAAATAAAAACTATTATTGTGATAGAATAAAAAAATTTTCGGTATTTATTCATTGACAAAATCACTATTGATTCTTTCGAACAAAATTTTTATATACGCAGTATACTTCCTCCATAACGAACACTGTTATTATGAGCTTTTGCTTATAACGAGGTACATTCAATGTCCCGTGAAATTTCTATTGAACTAATAACCCTTTATAGCGAGGCAAATTTGGTTATACCAAGAGAAAATAAGATCGAAAAATGTGTTTTTCTACGTTTTTAGTCCGGCCGTGGCTATAAATAAATATTATTTTTAAGGTTGATCTGCACCCCCCAAAGACAGCTACAAATTCAAAAAGTTAAAAAAAAAATTGAGTAGATATATGTGATAACTAGAAGTATTTTGACAAATTTTGAGCAAACTTCATTTGTTTTCGAAAAAAACTGTCAAACTGGTAGGGGCTTTAATGGACAAGTAGCAGACCATAAAAAGCTTTCAACAATAGAATAACAGATTCTACATATGCACTTCACCTTCTAGATCATAATCATTCTTTTAATGACATAAAGGCTTTAAGCTACCTTTGTTAGAATCTATGGAAATCAACAAATTAAAAAACACAGATATAATTCTGAATGACCAACTTGAGGCAAACAGTTCTCCCCTCCTCAACCTATTTCATTAGAGACTATAATATACTACTGACCAGACTATAAAGTGTAAAGCAAGCCAAAAATAGATCACTTGAGAAAGTCAATCAACCTAAACAGCTGTAGTGATAAGAGTTAAAATAAATATTGTGGAATTTTGAAAACAAAGTTTTCAGTGTTTTATTGTTACATAAAATGAATTTCCGTCAAGTAACGGTCGAATCCATCTTTATGTTGTAAGAAAATTAACAAAATTGTATGTCTGGTTTTCCCGCTTTATACTTGGAAAAACTAGATTTTTAGAGTTTTTTTTTCGAAAACGAAATGAAGTTTGCTCAAAATTTGTCAAAATACTTCTAGTTGTCACATATATCTTCTCAATTTTTTTTCAAATTGTTTGAATTTGTAGCCGTCTTTTGGGAGGTGCAGATCAACCTTAAAAAGAATATTTATTTATAGCCACGGCTGGACTATAATACATTTTTCGATCTTATTTTCTCTTGGTATAACCAAATTTGCCTCGCTATAAAGGGTTATTAGTTCAATACTATTATTGTGATTAATAACTTACATTATTTACATTTATTACATATATGGAATATTATTTATATTCTAGGTAATGTCCTTCTTGTTGTATGATTTAGCATTAAATCCAGATGCACAAACAAAACTAAGAGAGCATCTTACTGACATTTATAAGAAAAATAATGACCAATTTACGTATGAAAGTGTAAATGAACTTCAGTATTTAGATGCTTGTTTAAGTGGTAAGTAAGATATCATTTGAAACAGTTCCTTTGATCATTTGTTTGCTATTTTGCATTTTAAAAATTATATCTCGATTACAACTTCTGCAAGATATTCTGAGGTAAAAATTTCAGTATGAGTAGGATGGCAATGGCATAGTCAGAGATAGAATATAACAATCTCTGATTGTAGTTACAAAATAAACTTTAAGTGTAGTGCGAACCTCTTTATACTGTGGTAGTGCTTTAAATAAATCCTCAGAACTTGAAAATCAGTATTAGGTTTTCTCAGTCTGAATGGTAAAATCCTAATGCGCTAAGTGAAATAATTATAATATTAAAAGTAATATAAGACGAGCCTTTTTTTGTCTCCATGTCTCCATTCCAAAATTCTTTTTGTCCACCGGTCATCAACTGATCTTGCTACATGACCTGCCCAGTTCCACTTTAGTGTTGTTATCTTTCCAATAACGTCTGATACTCCTGATCTTTTGCGTATGGTAGCATTGGGTATTCTATCACGTAGAGAAATCCCTAACATTATCACTGTATTGCCCGTTCCGCAACTTAAAGTTTACTCACTTTTGTTCTTGTGAGTGTTGGGGTTTCTGCGTCGTAGGTCATCACTGGCAAAATACACTGATTAAATAATTTTCTTTTCAGACACATTGGAATCTTAAACCTAAAAACATCCTTCATCCTTCCAAATGCAGCCCAAGCGAGGTTTATTCTTTTTTTCAGCTTGATTGTTTGTTTGTCTCGACTTATTCTGATCTCATGGCTCAAGCATTTATAGGAGTCAACTGGCTCAATATCTTTGTCTTCTACTGAGATGTTTTTATTGTGGATAAATTTGTGGAGATAAATTTGTCATAAATTGTGTTTTTGAAAAATTTATTTTAAGACCAACTCTTTTTGTGGCAGTGTAGAGTTCTTGGAGCATTATCTGTGCCTAATCAAAGCTGTCTGCAGTAAGAACGACATCATCTGCAAACTTAAGGTTATTTAAAAATTTTCCATCTACATTGATGCCCTTTTCGTTCCAATCTATTGTTTTACAAGCGTATTCTAGCAAAGTTGTAAATAATTTAGGAGACATGCTGTCTCCTTGCCGAACGTCTCTTTTAATACGAAAGGTATCTTCGTTAAGTCTTATACAGGCTGTAGGGCATTGGGTTGAAGATAGGGCAAGCAAAATAATGGACACTGTTGCGAACGGCTCTAAGGATTTTTTTTGAGAACTAAGTCGTGGATACGGGGGGTTTGGCCTTAAAACGCCACGCTGGCCAGACGTGTTGGCGAGTTGGGGGAGGATATAGGGAAGAAATTTGGGGTTTGGGTAGGATAATATTGGGGTTTGGGCCTGGTTTCCCCTAAGTAGGGAGTAGAGGAAAACCAGGAGCTCGCGTGGGTTTTTAAGGCCAAACCCCCCGTAAACATGCAAAACACAAACCAAACACGGCCCTCAGTCCCCGGCAGCTCAAAAATCTCTGACCAAGGTAGCGGACAGAAAAGATTAAGAGCAGAGGGTGCTAAGAATACCCGGGATGGACCAGGCTACCACTCAAGACGGCTAAACTGCACAAGAATTACTGCATCTTGCATCCTATAATATAAGAACCCTCTCAACCGATCATAAACTAATAGAACTGGAAAACGAATTAAAAACAATAAAATGGGATGTAATGGGACTTAGTGAAATTAGAAGGAGAGGAGAAGAACAACAAACATTAAAATCAGGACACTTGTTCCACTACAGAGGAGAGGAACATTCATCCAGCGGTGGAATCGGGATCATTGTACATAAAAAAACACATACCCAACATTAACAAAAATCGAGACCATAAGCACGAGAGTCATCCTATTGATATTAAAACTAAACTCTCGTTATAGTTTAAAAGTTATACAGGTCTACGCCCCGACAACTGGACACACAGATGAAGAAGTTGAAAAATTCTATGAGGATGTAGCAGAAGCACAACAAAGAACACGAACACACTATACTGTTCTCATGGGCGACTTCAACGCAAAACTCGGATTCAAACAAGACCAAGCGGAGATCGCGTTAGGAAAGTACGGATACGGGGCAAGAAAACGCAAGAGGGGACATGCTTTTAAAACTTTTTACATCATCAATGCATGTTTCAAATGAACTCTTCTTTAAAAAGAAACCCCAAAACAAATGGACTTGGATAAGCCCTGATGGCGCCGTCAAAAACGAAATCGACTTTATAATTACAGATAAAAATATATAATACAAGACGTGGAAGTACTCAACAAGTTCTGTGCTGGCAGCGACCATAGGATGATAAGAACAAAAGTAATGCTTAACGTTAAAAAAGAAAGAATGAAGCTTGTTCCTAAACCAAATGTTAGAAGATGGGTACCACCTGAAAATGCAAAACTGTTTGAACGTACGGTCGAAGAAAAATTACAAAACGAAGAAACAGAAAACATAAACATCGAACAACTAAACCAGAAAATAGTCAAAGCTCTGAAACAAGCACAAGAAAAATGTTGCCCAAAAAACCAAAAAGACGAAGAAAAACTAAGTCTAAGCACGAAACTCTATTAGAGGAAAGAAGACAACTAACAGATAAATACAGAACCAATCTAACAAAAATGAGACAACTAAACAAACAAATCACTAAGAACATCAGAAAAGATATAAGAGACTACAACACCAGAGAGATATCAAAAGTCATAGAAGAGAACAAAAGTTTAAAAGTCTTCAGAAGGAAACAGCAAATAGGAAAGAAAAATATTTACAAACTGAAAAAACACAAAGGGCGAAAATAAAACAGATAAACAGGAAATTCTACAAACTGTCGGACAATTTTACAGCGAACTCTACAGCAAAACAGAAGAAAATGTTCCAACTGACAACATACCAAAGGTTCTAAACCAGGGCTCGGAAGACATACCAGATGTTACTGTTGATGAAATCAAAAAAAGCTCTCCTACAAATAAAAAATAACAAGTCACCTGGCGACGACGGGGTCGTTGCCGAAGCCATAAAATTAGGAGGCGAGAAACTGATACAAATGCTTTCCATACTTTTCACAGAATGCCTTGAAAGAGGAACAACACCATCACAATGGCAAAATGCAGTGATCATTCTAATGTTTAAGAAAGGAGATTTAACAAATCTCGTAAACTATAGACCAATCAGCCTCATCTCACACATATACAAGCTTTTTACAAAAGTCATAACAAACAGACTTTCGAACAAAATGGACTTTTACCAATCATGCGAACAGGCAGGATTCAGGTCAGGCTTCGGCACAAACGACCATCTACAAGTTATTAAAAGCCTCATCGAAAAATGTATAGAGTACAATAAACCCCTCGTCCTAATATTTGTGGATTATGAGAAAGCATTCGACACAGTAAACCACCATAAAATGCTAGAAGCTTTAAAAGAGTGCCGAATAGATCACCGCTACACCACTGTCATCAAAAATATCTATGATAATGCCACGGCATGCGTCAGACTCCATGAAGATACACACAAGTTCAAAATTCATCGCGGTGTTCGCCAGGGCGACACCATTTCGCCAAAACTGTTTACAACATTATTGGAATACATGTGTAAGCGTGCAAACCTAGACGAAAAGGGCATAAACATAAATGGAGAGCAGCTTAGTCACCTCAGGTTCGCGGACGATATAGTCCTGATAACAGACCGCATAGATCATGCCATCGAAATGTGCGAAAGACTCTACCATGCCTCTACACAAGTGGGTTTAAAGATCAATAACTCAAAAACACAAGTGATGACAAACCTTGTTCTGAGTGAGAACATCAACATAGCTGGAACAAGTATAGAACAAACATCAGCATACAAATATCTGGGACACGAAATTCGCTTAAGTAGAGATAACCAGACCAATGAACTAATACGTAGAATAGGGTTGACATGGGCAGCTTATGGAAAGCTAAGAGATGTTTTCCAAACAGCCCTTCCCATCTGCTTGAAGAGAAAAGTCTTCGATCAATGTGTGTTGCCAGTTCTAACCTATGGTGCGGAGACACTAACACTTACTAAGACGTCCGCAAACAAAATTCGAACAACACAGAGGGCAATGGAACGGTCCATGTTGGGATTAACCCTGAGAGACCGAATACCCAACACAGAATTGCGCCGTAGATCGGGAGTAACCGACGCAATCAAAAGAATATCAACCTTAAAATGGAACTGGGCAGGGCACGTCGCGAGAACGAAGGACGGCAGATGGACAAAACGCATTCTTGAGTGGAGACCCAGACAAGATGCCTTTAGAAATAGAGGACGACCACCAACAAGATGGACGGATGACCTGAAACGGACACATCAAAATTGGATGCAGGCGGCTCAGGACAGAAATTTGTGGGGTGAACTACGGGAGGCCTATGTTCAGCAGTGGACGAGTATGGGCTGAATGATGATGAAGTCGTGGATAAGTAAATGAAACAATCGGATTGGATTGGAGCAACTACAAAAGTGAAATAAAGGGGTACTTTCATGAGTCTCCTAGACAAACAGAACACAAGAACGTGCTCTAGCTATTTAAAATAAGGACGCCGCTTTGAAGAATCCTCCTGCTGGATAAAAGAAAAGGTTCTTCCTTCCAAAAAAACACGAAAGAGGTTAAAAACTGTTTTCAAAATAAATAAACAAAATGACTTAGGGAAAAAAATTTAACATTACTGTTAGTTGTCTCACCACAAACAGTTACAAATATAGATGGTAATTCAAAAAAATACTATATAATTAGTTACAAAGATAAATACCAAAAATAACAAAAAAAAACACTTACTATGTTCTTCTATGTTCTTACAGTTTACAAACTCTTAAAGTTGGAAATACTACAGTACTTAACTGGGCGATAATTTGTAGCAGAAATAAATTATTACAAATAAAAAAATATATTTTTAAATGAAACTATGAATAGTGATTAAACTTTTTCTAAAAAAAAAATCTCAAATATGATTAGATATTTACCAAATATCAAAAAATATTGCTAACTGTCATATGTCAATACTAAATCTTAAAACGGAGAACAATTAAAATGACAGCTATAAGCCACACTCTAAGATCTACAATTTTAATTTGTTTATAAAAGCAATTAGTATTAAAAATGTTTATTTTTTCTTTAAAAGTTTAAAAAAAAAAGTTACCTGGATTTCACTAAAATGCACTTTAAAATTTCTGAGGTTAAACTCTCTGCCACTCCAACCAATTTTATCTCCAAACAGTTATTTTGAAGCGGCTGGTTAGGGCAAAGCAAATTGAGATTGAAATTGGGACACTGGACGCAAACCTTGAAAACTCGTCTACTTAAAAACTCAATAATAAAACACATGGGTATCCTTCAAAGTTATTGTAATTGCCGTTTTACAAATATCTCAGATGAGAGACGGCTTACCAATAAAAAAAACAGTGATTACTCGTTCAAAGTTGACTCGGTTTTTTCCAACTAAACTAAACACATCTGCTTTCAATCGCCCATCTTTCAAGCTTTTTTTAAACTGTAACTGCACTATTAACTGCCACAATACTATACATTTTCTCATGACAAATGTCGAAAAACTTAAAAAATCATAACAAATTTGACTAACAATTTGGACTAATCCCAAAACCAGCTGCCTTTGACAGCGGATTCACGGTGAGTGATGTAATTCTTAAAAATCATTCGCTTCCCAGATTAACCTTCTTAGCGATCTAAGTGGATGATTATTTGAAACGCAATATTAAGCGAAAACGATCAAAGAAAATACCAAAGAATATGCGTCTGTGATATATTAAAAAACTTTAAAAAAGTGTTAATATCAACCCGGCGACGCAAATAGGAATAAAACTACTTTTTCGGTATTTTAACATATACGGGGTGATTTCAATACATACAAAAGAATTTTAAAATGCTACAACACCAGCACATTTCACCCTTTTATTAGTAAACTCTATTTTTTAATTGCCATATTCGTATCACAGAGTTAGTTGCCATACTTCTCCGACACCGATTCACCAATTCTTATAAAATTTTATATGTACATATATTCATATTCCTATGAGGACAATATTTTTATTTTTACTTTTCTTATAGTATAAGGGACAGAGGGGGAAAAGGAAATATGTCAAATTAGGGGCGAAAATGAGTTAATTACACCATATAGTGGCAAAAACTGGATTCTATTTTATGTAAAAAAATCGCATTGATGAAAGAGGTTAGTCAGGGTGTAACACATGTTTTTATATTTGTTATACAGAGTAAAAAAGGAGGCATGTCCGATCGGTACAGGGAAAAAAGGGGGGATGTCAATGTGACCGACACCAACTAAGCTATTCGTACATTTAGTTTGTTAGACATATTAAACATATTAAGTTGTAAATATGTCTAGTGAAAGTGACGAATTTATGAAATGTGACGTTAGGGACAAACGGGAAAATAATGCAAAGAATCGTGGAAAATATGGACGAATTCATGGAGTAAATAAAAAATTAAATAGATACAGTCATGTAATAGGACCGGATTGTAAGTGCGTTAGGTTTAGATGTTTTCTACAAATACCGAAACAAACATGAATTAAAATTATCAGAAAGTTCAACCTTATGGAGTCGACAGATGCCCAAGATATATACTTACGCGGATTAATTAATGTACAAACTGTACAGCAATGAAGACCACGAGTAGCAAAGGACTCTACACGTCTTCGTGATGCCTTATGAATACAACTACCTTTCTCAGTGTTACCACGCTTGGCTTCGGTCTCATCCCAAAAATAATGTACAACATTCTTTACGTTTAAATCACTTATTGTAAAGTTAAGTCAGTTGATCCTAGATTTTTTAAAGAAAAAAAACTTGGCCTTTTAGAACCTGCATGCCTACAGGTCGTATACAGCTATGATGACGTCATTTCTGATTTTTTCAGCTTGTTTTTCTTATCTGGAAAGTTATTTTTCTTTGCGATGGCTATTATAACTGTCCCACAGTTTTGTCTTACCCTCATCATTGGCATTTCTATAGCTTTCGCACAGGTCGCACTAATCTTCCTTGGGAATGTGAAAGGAAATATTAAACTCCTCATTGAAAATTCGAGTGAAACTTGAAGTTGAAGCAGGAGTTAAACTATTTTCCTCTCGTATCGAATCGTAAAAGAATTTATAACATTATTCACACTACTTTTTATTTCAGTGACAATTTTGTGCTGATTACCATGCTTTCCAAGTGCATCAGGTTCTACAAAACCATCAAATGTTCTCTTTGACAGGGCTGTTTTAATATATTCTATCATAAATGCTCAGCGTTGTTTTAAAAAACTCTTTGCATACTCTTTATCGTTATTTATTTCGAAATAATAAGCTGAAATCAAAGCCTTTAATTTTTAAAAAGTTATGTACCTATACTTCGGTTTGATGTCTTCTGTATGTCTGACTATGTATTCTCTTAGCTTTTCTAAATTGCCTAGCTGCCATAACTTTTTGAAAATACTCTGTCTTAACGTTTCGTCTTTTTTCGTTTTGTAATTAAACTCACACTTGTCGCCGCAAGGTGGACGTATTTGACGCTTAGCGATCATTTTTGTAGGATTTCTTAATGAAACAACGCCTTACCTGTGTTCCGCAATGTTTTGGCAATCTTGGTCTTCCAGCCAGAAGGTTTTCGTTTTCTTTTTCTACATAATTTGGGTTCGCTAAATGGTGAAGTTACTAGCAGATGTTGAAGGTATGGCTGCGTGAGTAGAATTGAAATAATCTTTACTGTTTGCTGAAGAAGGATCTGGTCTAGCAGATGTATTATCAGATGAACTACTTGAGCTAGTGGAGCTTGAAGAAGATGATCTAAAGTCTGACGACAAACTCGAAGAAGAAAATGATCTTCTAGGGATTACAAGGGGCCAAGAAATATACTTGACGGGCACAACAAAAGTGGAATCTGCATCCAAATCATTTATAAACTCTTCATCATTGCTAGTTTGTGATAAATAAGAATAGGCTACCTCTTTATCTGATGACCTATGAGATATTACGGCCCCTGTTGGTATCTTGTCGGTTGATGCTTTAACGTAAAAGTTCCCAGTATCCTCTTGAACGCTGTTTTGGTAAACAGAAGGTGTACCATCTTTTATTTTTACTTCTTTAGCCTTTTCCAGCGGTAGAGGACCACGACCTCTTATCATCTGCAAAATAATAATTATTAAGTTAATTTGTTGAACAATAGTGCATTATTTCAAAAAATAATAATTTATCTGAATGTTAATAGAAATTAATATTAATTTAGACAATATTTCTCTTATTTTATATAATAAGTAATTATACAGTGTATATAGATATAATTTAATATAATTTTTGATTTTAATTAGGATTTTATTAAAATCTACCATTAATAGTGCATTATTTCAATTATGTTTACTTTTTAAGAACAGCACTGAATTATTTTAAAATAATACAAAAAAAAAATTACTTTGCCAATAATACAGCACTATTTCAAAATAGTATTAAACAAGCGTTTTAACACAGTTACCAAATGTTTTTTATTAGACAACAATATATTAACTGAAAATAATTCACTGTTGCATAAACGCTGTACGTCTGGTCTCTAGATTTAAAAAGCTGCAACTCGCCTAATAATTGCCTATACGTGTTATCGGCCTAATCAAGCCGTCACCAAGAACAGAGACTTAGTTCGCCATCTGTTGGATATGTTATTAGATTTAAATAGACCGGTATTTGTAGTATATGCCGCATTTTTTTAACTTGACTGTTATGTGAAAAAGTCGTTTTTGCTATTTTTTGGCATAATTCAGTGTTGTTCTGTGTGTGCGACATGTCAATTAATCAAAATAATTTCAATTTCAAATATTATAATTAGTTAAATAGTTTCTACATTTTGTATTGTAGTACTTAATCAGATGATAGGATTTTTCAATAAATAATTTTTAAGAAAAACTATAAGTAGGAATAAAATATTTTATAAAACCAGACACCTACATTTCTAATTTTACTACTTTTACTTATTATTATTTTTTAGAATCTTTAAGGGTGAATTCCGTGGTTTACACTTTAACCAAAGTGTGCACTGAAGATTACACGTATACCCCAACCAACTCTGATTATAAGCCTATTTCAGTCAAACTAAAAGTAGGAGATATTGTTATGATACCATTACTTGCTGTGCAAATGGACCCAAAATATTTCGAAGATCCAGAAAAATTTAAACCAGAACGATTTATAGACAATCAGGTCAAGAGGTACACCTATTTTCCCTTTGGAGATGGACCACGTGCTTGCTTGGGTAAGGATAATTCAGTTTAAAGAAAATTAATTTACAGATCCAATTTATACAAAAAGTCACTAGATTTTCTTAGTTGTAAATCAGAAAAATGTCCATATTAATTTTACCCTATCACGCATGTGATAGGGTGATAATCATCCAAGCAGAAGACGGTGATAATCATCAAATAGGTTTCATCAATATTAAAGTACTTCAGTCGTCAGAGACGTAAATGCTAATGAATCTCTAAAAATCTTACGAAGCTAAATTTTGCTGGGAATGTTAATTTTGGGACATCAAAAGAAGATGCAAAAAAGTTTGCCTAAAACCTCTGTCCTGGTACGTAGAATCTATCTGGATTATAGGTTTTACATGTAAGTGTGAAATGCTTTTGGTTTCTACAGCTTCCGGATTTCAGACTATTAGTTTGTGAAAAATGACAAACTAAAATTCTATCGAAGTTAATCTTCTTCTTTGGGTACCGTCTTCAATGAAGGTTGGCGATAACCTCAGCAAAATCATTTCTGTCCCTGGCTTTTCTTATTAAAGATTGAGAATCCAAACCAGTCCACTCACGAATGTTCTTCAACCAGGACGCCTGCCGTCTACCAGGACCACGTATTCCTTCTACCTTCCACTCTATAAGAAGCTGCAGTAGCTGGTATTTCTCATTTCTGTATATGTGTCCCAAATATGAGGTTTTCCGTGTTTTCATTATTTTTAAGAGTTCTCTGTCGGTACCCATCTTGTGTAGGAAGTTAATATCTATAATAAAAACTAACAAGGTCATTATCACAAGTGAGGTCAATATACACCTGCAACTCATTCAACTTATAACATATCCTTTTATATTTCTCATGTACCTATTGTTGCTTTATGACAGATAGGGCCTTTCTTAAGTTATAAGTAGATTACTTAATATACTATCAACATACTACAAAACCATGTCCCAACCATCAACTTTTGTTCATTTCATATAATAGTTAATACTCTAAAACTTCCACGCCACTTAGTCCGTTAACACCTAATTAGATATTTATGTTCATGAACTTATAACTTAAAAAGTTTTACATTTACCAGGTACCAAATGTTGTTTTTTGACATACAGGGCCTTCTATAATTGAGTTCTAAGTTAAATATTACATGAACATCATACTACAAAAGTTTTATTTTTATTCATTGAAGAACACTTTCATATTTTAAATATATTCATTCATATCCTACCAATAACAATAAAATTTCAAGAACTCAACTTCCCACATGTGTCTAGTTTCTATTTTCCAGGTACCAAATGTTGAAGAAACATAAAGTGCCTTATATTAAAATCTCTATTTCACCACATTACTGCACACATGTATAGTTGGTGGCCCAACTATAACCACATATTTTTCTTTCCACATCTCATCTTATATACATAATTTTAAAACAACAACAATGATAGTTGATACTGTTATATTAATTTAGCCCTAGACTCCAGCACAGATCAGAGGTAATGTAAGTCGATAAAACCTCACCAGCTACAGGGGGTCATGTAAGATGCCCCCATTTTCTCTTCTCTTCTTCAGATGCAAATCCACTAATGGATGTTAGCGATCACATTTTCAGTTTTTATTAATCAACAAGTTAACAGTCTATTGCATTTACCTTTATAAATACCATGAGGATTGTTGTTTAATACGGATGTCCTTCCAATGTTTTTATGTGGCCATACAATGATTTTACCAACTTTTTATTAAGCTGATGATGGATTGATTCAATTCCGAAAAGATCTTCTTTAAAATAAAAATTTTAAGCTTTTAATAAGCATTTTTTATACCCTAATACACACGAAAGCCACGTGCTTTATATTAGTTTACTTTATTTTAACAATTTTAAATTGTTGGCTTTTGTCTTAAGTAGACACATACAGTTTTATTAACTGCTCTGTTACGACGTCCGTCCTAACTTGTTAACATTGTCATTCCAATCAGTTGCTTCCATACAGTAATCGTAGACACACCGTCTCAGGATAACATATTATAAGAAATACTGTAAACCAAATGTAACTAATTATTTGTTAACAGGTTTTTACCCATATATTTAGTGGCTACATTCATGTACTCCTAGTGAGTATTAACCACACTTTGCATTAACCTTAGTCAAAATTTCAACCTCATGTTCTTTTTAATTAAGTGGTTATATATTTTCTAGGACACTGATGATGGAATATGGATTCCGAAAACGTTTTGTCTAATTAGCCCGTTAGGGTTTTAAATATATACCCTTTACAAAGGTTTTTAATTAATTTTTTTTAATATATGGTATACAGCCAATTACAGGAACATAGATTCCTTGTGGAAAAATAAGGTCTTTATTCCAGGATCACAATCCTGGTGGCGGCGGCGTCTACGGCGGTATGTCCCACTGTTTAATATACACAGGACACAGACGATAGGGAGTTAGTCGAAGGAATAAAGATTAAGGTTGCCAATCAACATTCGGCCCGGCGACGAACGGACAGTGTTCAATCAGTACTTTGACACCATTTAATTCTAAAATAAACTATCTCCATGCTTCACATTTACTTCTTTTAATGATCAATCTAAATCGAGCTTTTAAGCATTTGAATATTATTGATATAAGATATTTTTTCTCTCTCTCTCTCCTACACACGCTGCAGGCCGAGCGCCCGTCCTGCCTTAAGGCTGTTTTAGCAGTTCAAGCTCACTGCAATTTGAAATGGGCGTATTACTTTCATTTTTACACTGCTTACGTGAGACTATCTTTACTCAGTTGCGTCGGCCAACGGGCAACAAATGTATTACTCTCCATTCAAATTAGTTTTAACACGAACTAACTGACCGTGCGCTCATGAGATTTGAAGTCACGAAGGCGATAACGGTGAACCTAAGCGATAATGATGAGTAACACGTTTCACTATTAGATTTTAGTATTTTTTAGCAATTTTCTTCAAAGTTTGAACACGCTTTTCTCGATTATTACTGGACACAGAAAGGTGAAAAATAAATCAACGATTACAGAAAAAAAACTCTTTCAAGCGATGGGCGTAAAAAGTTTGGTTATAATAGAACGTTAAACAGTATAATCCAATTTTTCAACAGAAGTAACAAAAAAATAAAAAAAGTAAAACCATCATTTTAAAAGCAACATATTTTCGAATATTGTGTCCAAATTTCGAGACATTTTGTCGGTAAATAACAGTTCCTAGGTTTTGGTGCACCGACATAACAGCCTAAAGCGCTTCAGTTACGATTAAAAATAATATTTTAAAATAAAATAGGCCCAAAATACTTATCGGGTAAGGACGGAACAAGGTTTAAACTTGAATTCTTTGGTGAATTTAAAATTAATGTTTTCCACTTGTATTTTTGAACCTTGAAAATCTTAATTTTTCGTTTTTCTCTGTTTTTGAATTTTTATAACACGAAAAGGATCAAGTTTATAGAGAAAACTCAAAGCAACCTATTTTGTTTAGAATGATCCAAAAAATTGAAAACAAATTTATCCGGGCCGAAAAACTTGATTTTTACAATTAAAAAAAATGTTTAAACAAACTTGTACAAATTTTTGCTTGGGAAACCTCTTGAATCTTATTTTGGGGTATGTCGTGAAAGTGATTATTATTGTTGTTATTTTTATATTTTAAAATATGATTTCTGAAATTTCTTTAGTGATTTGTCGATATGTTTTTTAAAATGATATCCATATTAATAATATTATTTTATTTTTAGGACAACGTTTCGCCCAAACCCAAATCAAACTAGGAATTGCGTATATAATTAAAAATTTTAAATTAACGTTCAATAGTAAGACCCAACTTCCTCTGAAATACGACCCATTCTACATTTTGAAACACCCTATTGGAGGTTTATGGCTAAATTTTGAAAAAATTAATTAAAAGAACCTGTACTAATCAATAGTTACTTGCTAGATATAAGTAGCTATCTAATAAATATATATGTAATTAAAAGTACTTTATGAATATAAGTACTTTTGGAATATTTTTTTGCTTTAGTTATATAACATATTTTTTTGTTTTATACAATATTTGGTAATATAAATTTTGTTAAATAAATAAAGACTTTTTAATATTGTTCAGAACCTATTTTCTTGTAGCATATTAATCTTACTACTAAATAAATTAAAAATTAAGATATCATTAGTCGTGAGTGGCTGTAAGTCATCACGATAAATTCAAGTAGACTTAAGTAAGCGAAATATTTAAATATTTATAATGTTTCCTATTTATATGTTCGCAGAGAATACACAACGTTCACACAATAAGCAGTTGCTAAAGAATGCATGGTGTCAGTCATCAGAAAATGTTACGAGAGTTAAAATGGATAATCAACCGCTGGCTCAAATAATCTCCGATATGGAAAAGAGATAAGCACAGCTGAAAAAAGCCGAACAACATACAGGATTAACAGCAAGTGCTGATGAATCACAAAAGAAATTAAAATCAGATAAACTTATATACTTCACCGATGAAGAAGATTTAGCGTATGAAACGGATTGGATAAGAAACGAAAACAAAAAAACTAACAAAAAACATAAAATAGATACCTTATTATCTCCTCCCTCTCCTCAAAAATCAAGTGCAGAAACACAAATTGAAAAACCAATTACAAAACCAAAACCACCACCCCCGGTTGTAGTAGAAGGTTGTTAAAGTGCTGATGACCTGAGCTAGCTCCTGACTAAGGCTGGCATTACCTTCACTATAAAATTTATTAAAATTGCTACAGCCAATAGCGATTATTACAGAGCTTTAATAGAGGAATTAAATATAAGTAACCTTTCGTACTAAAATAAGCAAGAAAGGCCAATTACAGTTGAAGGGCCACGGGAAAGAACGATCAGACTCACATTTTCTTCATTTAGTACAAATCGAATTTTAAAGTTTTAAGTCGTTTATTTTGGTTCAGGAAAATTAAATACAAAATATTTAGTTGTCAGTTTATTACTGTAAGACTTTTTAATAAAAAATGAAAAAAAAAATAGTTTTATAATTATATATGTACTTGAAATCTTCAAATTTTTAATTAAGGAGCTGGACTCTGATCTATTTTGCGCGTTAAATGTCGATTGGTGGATCTTCGGTAAATTCCACATCACTACCTTCATTCGTACCGATATCGGAAACTTGTCCTTGGTAAAAGAAATGCGCTTCAGGGTTTGTCAGGAATTTGGGTAAGGTGCAATAAAGCATGCAACTTAGCAGTCTTAATAGGCAGAAGTTCATTATATAGCTTCTTTAGTGGAACAGGTTTCAATTTTCTCTTACGTGCCTGATTTTTTGAGGGAACTAACACTAAGATATAGGCCAAAATAATGGTCTTTGTGTAACATAAACCGTGGGTGGTTTTTTTCTATTTTTAAAATCCTGATAGGTCTAATCACTGTACGGCATTTTGGCACATAAGGATGAGAAAAATGTGTAAAGACAAAAATGCTTTATAGCAAACAACAGTATCTGGTAACGAGCCACTCACATTTACCCGAACTCTATAGCTATAAGAAGGTTGAATAAAATTTGCTTCATCTTCAGAGTTTTGGCTTCTCCATCTACCAACAGGTATAACCGTGACAAGACCTGTTAAATATTTGTTGTGAACATTATAGTCCCCTAACTCATTAAAATGAGAAATTAATTGTTGTCTTTCATTCGAAGGGATAACTAGAAAACAGTTGTAACGAATGCACTTACAGTTTTCCATGACCTCGTGAGTGTTGATACATAATTTTTTCATTACTTCACTCATTTTGTCAGTTTTTCTCCGCTTTTTGACATTTCCTGACTGATTATTTCCATTAGATATATCACTATCACTAATCACTTTACATTATGAATTTTATCAAAAACAAAATAATAAAAACTGCAAAACAGCAGCAGCTCGTTTAGCGATTGCAGAATAGAACTGACGCTAAGACGCTATATATGCAAACGACAATCTACGTTTAGTTACAAGGTCGTCGGAATCTGATCGTTATTAGCCGTCAGCGCGAGGAACCTGATCGTTCTTCTCCGTTGGCTTATATCTTTCCCCTTTATTATCTTTTGTACGGTGATCCATATTGTATAAACGAAACCATGCTTGGAGTCTTTCCAAGAAAAGCTAAAATATGACGTCAATATCTAAACTCTGACCAAAAATTGAGTCTGATCGTTCTTACCCGTGGCCCTTCAGTTGTTGTTAAGAAATTACATCAAACATGACCACCAGAGAAAATAGTAAAAGACCTACAAAAACGACAATATAAAGCCGTTGAAGCTGACAAGAAATTTAAGTGGAAAACTAAAAAACAACTAGATATGCTCATCCTAACAGACAGGATGAAGATATAAATAGAATTTTCGACATAATAGACATACTTAAAACGAGAGTTGAAATCGAGTTATTAAGGAGTTTCAGATTAGTCCCACAATGTAGAAGATGTCAGGCTTACGGACACACGTGGAAATACTGTAAAAAGGAGCCGAGATATGTAAAATGTATTGGTAAACACCTTACTAAATATTGCTAAATATGTAAATGCTAAATAACCCAAAATATCTTCATTGTGGAGAGAACCGTCCTGCAAACTACCGCGTATGTTATGTAGGTAAAAAATTACAAACAATGAGAAGGAAGAGAACAAATAACGACAATGTTATAAAAGCGCCCCATAGAGTTATTAAAAGCAAAAAACTAAAAACGGCAGAGGACAGTGAAATTAGAAGTTACTGCGATGTAACAAAGAATCAAGGAGACATGCATCATAGCAACAAGAAAAAAATCCAATATTACATTAAAAATATTATTGAAAAATCTCACCAAGATTTGATGACAAAAAAACTCAAATAGATATCAGAGTTACCGACTAGAGCATAGCCCTAAAAGAGATATTGCGAAAATCAGAAATAGGTAAGAACCTCCAAATAATTGTATGGAACGCAAATGGACTGTTACAACATCAGATCGAGTTGCAAGCAGTACGAGACATTGGGAAAATTGATCTGTGTCTAGTTTCTGAAACACACTTCACTAAACAGTCATATATAAAACTGAGGGGCTATAAAGTATATTCTACTGTACAACCAGATAATGCAGCTAAAGGAGGAAGCGCTATCATAATTAAATATAACATTTTGCATCATGAAGAATTAAAATATGCAACTGACCACACATAAACTACAACAGTCTGTGTGAAGATAAAATTACATACCGTAAATATAAGTTCAATATATTGTTCTCCTAGACACTCCATGAAAAAAGGAATAATATAAAGAGCTTATGAACACTTCAGGAAAAAGGTACATCATCGGTGGCGACTTTAATGCAAAGAATACCCACTGGGGCTCTAGGCTAACTACAACTAAAGGAAAAGAACTATTGTCAGGTGTTGAAGAACAAGAGGGTAAAGTAATTTTTACTAATAGACCAACATACTGGCCTACCGATAAGAACAAAATTCCAGACCTGATAGATTTCTTTATTTACAAAAACTTCTCACCGTACTATCTGGATATCAATGACTTCTGAGACATAAACTCTGATTACTCACCAATAATTTAACTATGGGTGATACAGTGATTAAAAAAGAATTTAAACCAATATTGAGTACTAAGAGAGCTTAGTACAAACAAAAAAACAACCTTAAACACAAAATTAATCTTGCTGTGCCATTGAGAAACACGAGGCAACTTGATGACGAATTAGGTTTTATAAAAAATACACAACAGGCAGCTTGGGAAAATACTCCCACAATAACTTCTAACACAAAAGGGAACAACTATCCAAAAGAAATTAGAGAACTAATAGTAAAAAAAGGAAGTTAAGCAAAAATGGCAGCAATACAGAGCTCAACGAGGCAAAACTAGTCTAAATAATGTTATACAAAAACTAAAAAGGGAGATACAGAATATAAAAAATTTAAAAATTGTTTTTTTTTAAAGTAATTTAATAGCTGACCAGAACACAGATTATTTGTTATGGAAGGCAACAAAAAGAATGAAGAGACCAATTATTCATTCTCCTCCTATCAAGTTGGAAAACAGCAACTGGGCTAGAAGTAACTAACAGAAAGCAGAACGATTTGTAGATCATTAAGAAAGCACGTTCAAACCCAACGACAATGATGGTGAGATGGGAAGAATAATTCCAAACTGAAAAAAAATTTACCTTGACATTATTTAGAAAAGTATCAAAAGAGATAAAAAAAATATAAACCCTAAGAAAGCTCTAGGATATGATCTCATAACAGGAGAACTGTTAAAAAATCTACCAGAAAAGCCGTAGTTAAGCTAACAAACCTAATAAATGCTGCTTTTAGATTGAGATATGTTCCCAGACTCTGAAAAGTAGCCGAAGTCATTATGATCACCAAACCAAGTAAAAGTCCTAACGAAGTGACATCCTATCAACTAATATCACTATTTCAGGTGATATCACAACTTTTTGAAAAACTTCTACTGAAAAGATTCCAATAATAGGAAGGAAAAATGATATACCAAATGATCAATTTGGTTTCAGAAATCAACATTCCACTATAAGGGAAAGTAGCCTAATTTCGGATACCATTTACAATTAGTGTCATATTTTTCACCTAATAACACATTTTAAACTTTTATCTACTCAAGAGTACTTGCAGAGTAATATAGAAACTAATTTTATTATCATAGACAATTTATTGAAAATCTTTTTTACAAAAAATATTGTTCAATAAAATTAGTGCTTTTGTATGTCAAAAATTTTAGGGCTCCTAATTTCGGATACCCTCCGAAATTAAGACACCATTTTGTTCATCATAAGAATAGTTACACATCTTGACAAAAGTCGCAAATATAGGTTTTCTTCTTATCAGCATTGGCGCACATCTCATGACACCACTTGAAGCACTTTATACTTACACCTTATCCACTTCTCACCGTGTGTATCTTCGGAATATAAACTGTCACAAAACATACATTCTGTGTCTCCATCTTCATCGTCTACATCCATATCAGAATCATCATCCAAAATAAGGTCATCACCAGGATGTGAAGTGTCACTACTACTCGATTCAATTTTTTTCTTTTGCTTTTTTTGG